ACAAGTCTTTGTCATATTTTTTAAAAAATATACTGTGAAGTGTGCAGTTATTGAAACCCTTGGAAAGGGCTCACAGCCAATCCTGATGCTTCTTTGCAGATACATATGATGAACATTACTTCCACCTCCTTGCTTTGAGCTCCCACATAAATCACATTGGATAAAGAGCATCTTACACATCCAAAGATACAGGAGTCAACTCTGCTGTAGATGCTGTTCACTACAATTCTCACTGTTGTGTGGTGTGTGACCTTCAAAAGATGGAATAAGGAAGCATGTACCAAATACAAATATTACTTTGTTTTCTTGCAAATGACATTTTTCTTATTACTACATCATTGGCTGCATATTTAAGGCAGCCATGATGCCAACCATTGAAGAATTACTGAAGAAAAACAGAAAAATGAGGAAGTAAAGATAGACATTTTGGTATAATTTGGTTATGTCTCCAATTTTTGATAACAGAATGAGAATATTGAAGGGGGGGCAAATGATTCTGACAGTTAAGTGCCAACTGATCCTTCAAATTAATTCATTCAGATGTCATTCTCCTAAATTCACAGAGCTTTATAAGAGGAGAATTATTCTGAATTGTGAGGTCCTGTTTGAAACATAACAATATGGTTTTAAGCACAATTTAAAAGTAAATTTTCAGAACAATGACATTCCGTATTTTTTTTTATTTAATGAATATAAATTTCCAAAGTACGAATTATGGATTACAATGGGACATTCCATATTTTTAATACCCACTTAGCCTTTTGTTTTACTGGGATTTTGACAGAAACATGGTGATGTGTAACTTGTTACATTTACAATACAAGGCTACATAAAACTTTCTCAAAAGTCATCATTTGTGAAAATTTAAATGAGGGAGATTGCCCAAAAAATACAAAGATAAAAAACAATTTAGCTCTAACCATTAAGCTTATTGCCTGCTCAATTTCTCGGTTCATTTTCCTATTTTTTTTCCTTGTAGCTACAGACTGAATACAAAGGTACACAAGAAGGGGAATCATTAGATTTTATACTACGCTTTATCAAAAGTAAAATACCATAGTCACGTAGGGTTAGACTTATTAAAGAATAGCTATTTTGCTGAAATCAACATTTGTACTTTTGACCTATTTGCAAAAGTAGTTTCATTTTATTTTTCAAAGATAAATACAATGTTGTTAGTAAATAAATGATAACTAGTTGTTCTTATGATTCTGTGTGAAAGAGCATAGTTTTAGCAAGTTCAGTTTTAACAGCATTGATTATTATTCCTATAATTATTATAACCAATGTGTATATCAAAACTACATGACATTTTATCTGCACTTCCCTAAGTAAATGGTATTTATTTTATGTATCACATTGTAGCAGTTTCCAAAGAAGGTAAGCTTCACAAAGATGGTGCATAATTCATATCTTTATCAGCATTAATTAATGAAAAGTCAAAAAAATAGTGTCATGCTACAAGCACAAACCTAAAATCACACATCATTTTTGTCACCTATATAAAGAGGGAATGATCTACTAACAAACATAGTAATTATAGATCAAATAATAGAAAAATTTGACCTGTAGAATGATTCTGAGACTTGTTTAAGAAAGTTCTTGCTCTCTCTTCAGGGAGTCTGACCTCCTGGGATGGTGTACTTTCTGTACCCACTTCTCAACAACAATCTCATTCCTCTCTTTCAGCTTTATTCTAAGAAGAAAAATTTGGAGGAAGAAATCTTGAGTTCATTAATCTCCTCCAATATTATGAATGTCATGAAAAATTTGAATCTTAGTGGGGTGAAATCTGATTTTATTGTGTATTTAATATAAAGCTCGGAATTCTAAGTTTAAAAAATTTTATCAAATTTATTTTTTAAATGCAATGTCTAAAAAATATTTAGATGTAGTGTCGATTATGCCTAAGCTGATAGGTATGTGGTGTGTTTGTGTGTGAGAAAAAGAGAAAGACATTTTCTTTGCATTGTTGGGGTAGAAACAATTGGCTTCACAATGTGAGAGAGGTTGCCTATTCCCTGTGTATACACATAGCCCTGTGTTTTTAATTAGTAGGAAGATAAGTCTGGTAGGTTTTAACAAAAAAAAAGAGGCAAGTTATAAGAATGCTGAAACTTGTTATATATAATTTTGAGGATGAAATAGTCCAAGTAAAGACTGATAGAATAGATTTTGTTTTTCCATATAAGGTAGGATAAAAACATTGAAAAAACATTCCAAGTCTGTTCTTTGGTAGAATTGACAATATGCTTTCCTAATAGGAATTGATATATTGGCAGATATTAGAATTATTCTACTTAGAAAATGAATAACTAAAGTTTATTTTCTATATTTTTGTTCATACTTGGTAATTCTTAATGTTGTAAAATGGAACTGCATGGATATTATAATCAAGGCCATGTCCCTAAACTAAAACTAGAGAGAGAGAGAGAGAGAGAGAGGGAGGGAGGGAGGGAGGGAGGCACAAAGGGAGTTAAAAGTTATTTTAAAAAGGAAGGCTATAGACCACACTGCTTGAAGTCACTCAATAATCTCTTCAAATTCTATGTAAATGTAATCTTATCCTCATACAATTCAAGTTTCCACACATGAGAGTCCCTTTCTATGGTGTTTTGTTAGAGTGCTCTGCAGTGGTAATATGTATATTACCAATATGTACACATTAACTACAGTAACAGAGATGCATTGAATAGAAAATCATCATGACATTTCTTACATTACAGTAATGAATTTGTAACTGAAGTGACACCAATAATTGTAATCACCATCATCAAAATAATAACTGATTCAATATATAATTTAGAGATACTGAAAACACCCTCACTCATACAGAGTTCAAAATAAGTGTCAACATTCCTATTTTAGGGATGAGAAAACTGAGTGTCTAGGAGATAAATTATTTTCTAAGAACCCCTCCCACCACTAAATAATCTACTGTGGATTGACTTCAAATATAAATGCAGGATCCCTCCAGCCTCACCTGCTGTGTAAATCTTTTGTTCTCTCTGTGTTTAATGAAAATTGCAAAGCAGTGGAGATGTCCTCTGGGTTACTGACCAACAATACCCCCAGAGGACCAGAGTATTATAACAACTTCACTGGAATAAGTGTACTTCTATCCACTGAAATAACCTGCTATATTCTAATTTATTGATTTGCAGCATTTACAACTAAGCTCAACTTTTCTCTCTTTCTGCCTGCTTTCCCTCACTTGACTAATACTAACACTGCATTAAAATTCATTTGTAAGTGTGACTAAAAATATTTGCCCAACATATTCTTTATATTTCTGCAGGACAGCATGTGGCAAAATGCAAATGGTATCCGATTTACACTCTGTGTCATCAAACAGTTGCTTTGCTGGGGAAACAGGAATTATGTAGCTGTTGTGTTTGACAGTAGATATTGACATATATTCTTTGTGTGCTTGATTTCTATTTTGACATTTTAACTAAGGGTTTCTTTGTACTTCAAACACTGAATGCAAAGTAAAGTTCTTTCTACCTAAAGAGTACACAATGTTAAGGAAATCATGAAACAGAAAATTTGCCAAGTTTCAGTCTGTTTCTGTAGGCCTGTTTGTGAGATTCTAATATCACACACGTGAACTGACATAAACATTAAGGTTGAAGAACTGAGGTTTGGAACAATATCTGTTTTCACAGGCATATTTATTTAAGCCATTTTAAAATTTATTTGTTATTGATTAACAAGTCATAAGCATCTCCATTTTTGGGGTACAATGTGATGCTTCAATGTTTGTATACAATGTGCCCTGAAAAAAGCAAGGTTTACTAATACTTAATTCAGTTTCAAATAGCTCCATTTAGTAACTGAAATAACCCCACCCATCACAACATATTATCCAGGGATGATAACTAATATATATCTAATGAAAAACTTTAATGATATAAAGAATATGTAAACTAAACCCTATTATTATAAATAAAATTTGGTCATATATAAAATGAATTTATGATAAAGTGTTTTCCTTTTGGCTTCAATATAGTACATAACATAAAATGACTTATTAATCTACAAAGAAAGTAGACATAATGAAAATTCATGTTTACAAATACCACATTTGAAATAAATATTTTTGTAAAGTTTAATTTGAAATATTGCAAACACATTTGCATTTTATGATGAAAATAAAATAACTTCATTAAAATCAAAAACCTCACTCCTCACAAATAATCATTTAGTTTTATTTTGATAGATTATATAGGTGGATAGTTAACTAGATAGACAGAGATACAGATATATAAATATGTGATTTCAGTATCAGGTAATTTACCCTTGGAGCCAACATAATAGGATGCAAATATTTAAATATCAATGCTCAGGTTAAGCCTGTATTTAACATAGCAACAATTAATGTGTTATTTGAATTTCTTCTCATAAATATTGAGTCAATTTTTGATACTCAGTATTTTGATATAATATGAATCTAAAAATTATATATTTTATAATGAAACAAAAATGTAATAATTTCAGTAGATTAAATTTATAACCTGTAAATCCTATGCATCAAAACAATTTCAACATCAACTTTACATGTGATGAGTAAATTTTAAAATTATACTCAATGGCTGTGTAATTTCTAATTTATAAAAGCAGATGATATTCATTATAAAACTTTTTTCCTCAAAGGATGTATAATTTCATGATGTTTTATCATCTCACACTTCAAAACACTCAGTTATATGATGTAATTTATACTATGAAAATATTTGTTAAGAAAATGATTTATTTTATAGTCCCAAAGTAGTACCCAGCAAAATAATTGTAATTCAGTCCCATAACAACACATTGACAAAAGTAAAAGGAAAACTATAGCTATCTTTATGACATATCATCTCATGTGTAAAATCATTGGGCTATTATGGGATGTCTAGGTATGAATTACAGGAATACATACTTTCATGTTTTCCAGTGTAAATGATCACAAAATTTAAATAGAGGAAGATGATCTCAGCAATCTTTACTCCACTCACCTACTGTCAGTTGTCCAGTTAACTGTCCCATGTGATTTCTTGCATTCACTGTGACATTCCTGTCAGACTGTAAGACCAGTGGACTATCCTGGGAAACATGTATAAAAGAAAGAAATCAAATAGAAAATAAAAATGCAGTCAAAACATAAAATTATGCTATATTTGCTTGAGCACTATCAAATTGTATTTGTTTTTTATCTTGCCATTATTTGAACATCCCAAATATTGGTTTGACAGTAAGACATATGGGTGCCTCTACAGAATAGGAATGTTTTCACCTCATGAGTGGGCAGTAACTACTAGATGGAAGCATTTTCAATTCTACTGATTACTGATTACTGTATGCCAAAAGCATTGTAATTGTTACCTTGCTCTCTCCCAGTGGTATATACACCTGCCCATGCAGTCGTTTTAGTTCTTATCCCAGTAGGGAAGTCCCTTTTTAAATTTGACTTGCAACTTTCAGAGGTCAGCTTAAATGATACTTCCTCAAAATTGCCTTATCTCATCACTGTGACTACTGATTCATTCAATACCCAAACTCCCAGTCTCTACTTACTTTGTTTAAAGCACTTCTATATTTCTCCCACAGATGTCTTTACTTTTTTGTTATTATTTGTTATTTCCTTTTTACTTGATTGTGGTTATATATACATAATATCATCCCCCAAACAGCTAACTGCTTAAGTATATATTGATTGTGTAAAACTCTTGCACAATAAAACTGATAGTATCTTGTTTATCTACCTCATGTTCAACAAATCATAGAATAGTTTGTATAGAAATATGTATAGAAATATAACACAAGGGCTGATATTGTGGGTGCATGTTAAGCCACCTCCAGAGATGCTGGCGTCCAAGATGAGCGATGGTTAAAGTCCCAGCTGCTCCACTTCTGATCCTGCTCCCTGCTAATGAGCCTGAGAAAGCAGCAGAAGATGGCCCAAGTGCTTGGACACCTGTCACCCACATGGGAGATCCAGATGGAGTTCCAAAGTACTGGCTTAAGTCTGACCTAGCTCTGGCTGTTAGAACCATTTTGACAGTGATCCAGTGGATGGAACATTGATATATTCTCTCTCATTCTCATTCTTTCTCTCCCCCTCCCTTTCTCCCCCTCCCTTCCTCCCTCCCTTCTCTAACTCTGCCTTTCAAATAAATAAATACCTTAAAAGTGGAACTATAAAAAGAGTAAAATATAATCACATAATTATACATATAAGAAGCATAACTATTTAAATTATTCATTCATTCCACAAATATTTGAGTACTCTACTGACATTGTAGCATACTAGAGTTTGGAACATTTCTGTGATCAAAGCATAGAACCTTACCTGTTCTTATGGAGTTTTCACTCTGGCTATTAAATTCCATGAAAATCTTTCCCAGTAGAACCCTCACCAACCAAGTATTATGTCACTTCTCTGTCAGTGTCAATATACAGGTATTTTCTTATATGGGTTATATACAATTCCTTTAAAGATAAGGACTTAGAATTTGTGATTTGGATACACAGAGAAAAGTTTTAAAGATTTTCCATAAAGCTGTATTTGGCCCCTTTTGAGTAGGTGTAACACACACACATGCATTCAGACACGCAACACATACATAAAAACTTTCTTTTAAAAGCAGATTTTGCTGGTATGTCTAAATTAAGGCTTGACTTTTATAAATAACTTTCCACATTTTGAATCATATATTCATTCTATTGCAATGTGGCTGTACAAACACTACTTAATTAATTTCATTATCTGCCAGCCTGTTAATATAACTCAGTTTTGTTCTGCATTAAAAAAATCTATCTCTTTTAGGCATATCTATTCCTAAGGCATTCATCTTTGAAACTATCTGAAATATTTAAAATTAAGTATGATTTTTAAGTGCTATGTCTACATTCTATTTACAGAGTAGACTGTGGACTAATGACTGTTTGTAAGCAGTGATTTCTTATCCAAAAATGTTTCATAGAGACAGACACACACACATGAAAAATATTATTGTGTTCAATGTTGGCAAAAGTTCAATCCAGGTATTTAATAGAGGAGTTCTGAACTAAATCAGGTTAATTTGAATGCAAGGAAAAATAAAAGTCTACAAAGGTTAATAGAGCTATAGAAAACTTTTCATTTAAGTTACATTCACATCTGATAAAGCTCATAATTATTATTTATAACTTTTATAAATGACAAGACTGTTTCATTTGTTAGTAGACATATTAAATATAAATATTTGTGAACTTTAGCATAACACAGCTTAAACATTAGTATACATAATTTAGAGACTTTATATCATTGAGAATTATTGACTTAATATGTTAAAATGAAATAAAAGTTAATTTCAAATTGTAATACCTACTTATTTTGATTTAATAGACAAATATATGTGGAAGAATGGAAAGTTTTATCACTTTGCATCCTTGTTTACAACATATGAATCTACTTTTACTCTAACCATTACATCCTGTTCAAATTCTTTCGCTGGCTTGCTTATCTTTAAATTATTCCACTAAATTTACCCTCAGAATTGAACTTTTATATTCACATGAAATTGTTACTGTAAAAGCAATAGCAATCCCTATTCTTACTAAAACAGTATACACAGTTACCAGAAGAAAAGAACAATTCTCTACACTGTATTCATGTTGCTATCAATATATTAATATGCAATTCTAATTTGTTAAAATGTGGTAGGTGAACTATAGTAAAATCAAGTAATTATTTCTGATAAACAAAATGCAATACACATGAGATAATTTTCACTTGAAAATCATATAATTATTTCTGCTTTATATCATTAGCACAGTAATGTCTTTGAGGATTAGAACCATTTATCATGCGTCCTAATCCCAAAACATGATCTTTTACACATTATCTACTCAGTGATAATTAAAATATATGTGATATAAATGTATATGAATAATGAGAATAATATCAACTATTTTGATTACCAAAAAAATGCAATCCTAAGCTTTTAATAAATCTGATGTATAGGGGCTGGCACAGTGGCACAGTGGGTTAATCTTCTGCTTGCGGCGCCGGCAACCCATGTGGGTGCCAGCTCTAGTCCCAGCTGCTCCTCTTCCAATCCAGCTCTCTGCTGTGTCCTGGAAAAGCAGTAGAAGATGGCCCAAGTGCTTGGGCCCCCGCACCCATGTGGGAGACTGGGAAGAAGCACCAGGAAGCTGGTTTCAGATCAGCACAGCTCCAGCCCTTGCGGCCATCTGGGGAGTGAACCAATGGAAGGAAGACCTCTCTCTCTGTCTCTCCCTCTCACTCTTTGTAACTCTACCTCTCAAATAAATAAATACAATCTTAAAAAAAAAAAGATGAAAACTGTTAAGTGGAACCATTCATAAAAAAATATGATATCAAAAATACTTTTAAGTGATAATTAATACCAATAAGCTTTGTTTTAGCTAAAATGAATGACATTTAAGAAATTTTTCCTCAATAATTATCACCTATTTTTTACTTCTTTCTTGTCCAAAGTTCTCTATTTGAGAAAATAACTATCAATGTTTTATTGATTTTTTTGCCTCTTTATGGTTTTCATATTTATTTATGTCCTATGCCCATGCTGCAAAACATTGAAGGCTAGGAAAAAGAGGCTTAGCAATAATCATTTTTATTTTATTCTTGCTGAGAAAATAGAGGAGGAAAATTGTTTAGTATCATCTTATAAAGTAGGAATAAGACTTGCAAGTTATACCAAGATAAGGAAGTATATGGGAGCCAGTATAAATACCTCTTTTTTTGAGGAATTAACAACTGCATCTTTTATTTAAATATCTTTCCCCCCAAACAAGAATCCTCTATAATAAAAATCAGATACAGACCTGCATTCTGGCTCTGATTCTGGAAACTGCACCTTCACCTTATGATATTCTTGAGAGAAAGTAGATAGGAGAACCAAATGAGAAACACAGTGGAAGTCTACCTGGGCCTGAGAAGCCCTGCTTACAATTCTTTCATGTGTTCATACTTTATACTGTTGGCCTGGCTATAACTTTGCCAATGGTCATGCAAAAATATGGAAATATGTCCCCCTTAGATAGGCTGTGCCAGTGACTAAGGGTAAATGACCTGTTTTTCATAAATCTATTGTTTCCATCTATCTTTATCAAAATATTTGTTAAGTACTTGTGGTAGGTCCTGTTTTCTGTTAGCTACTGGTTGTAAAAGTGAAATAAAAGAGACAGGTTTTCTTCTCTTATGTAATTCATGATCTGGTAGGCCAGACAGAAAATAAACCAGACAATTAAACAATATTACTAATGAAAGAGATTTCTACTTTGAGTATTACTTATGAGAATTAGTATTACAGGTATATAGGGAATCTGACTGCAAATATTTATTCTCTTAAGTCTTAACAGATCACATTTAGTGGCACTTAATGCCAGAGATTGCTCTAAGTGCTGTACATATATGAGCTTATGCTCTTCAGACACTTAAAATAAAGCCACTCACGAGGAATCAGGATGATACAGTGGCTGTGAGATGCCATTGCGGTGTGACACTTCCAACGTCTTTTCTTATTAATGGATCCTCACTGTTATGGTGCTTTACTAATATTAGTGTTGGGTACGATCCATCTTGTTTTACAGATTAAGATGCTGCCAGCACAGAAAATTGAAGTCATATGCCCCAAATCACACAGTTAATAAATGACAGAGGCAATATTAGAACCCAGCAACTTGAATCCAGACTTTGCCCTGTCACCCACTATGTGGTACTGTCTCATTTAGAGGTCCTTTCATTCTGGGCTTTCTAAAATGTCAATCCAAAAGCTGAAAATGAATAACACATTCAATTGAACAAAATGCATTCAACTTCAACATTCTGGTTTCTAAAAGAAATCTCTGTGGGCTGGCATTGAGGTATAGAGGTGCCTGTGCTTGTGCCATGTGTGCTAATTCAAGTGCTACAACTTGGCTTCCAGCCAATGTGCCTAGGAAGGCAGTAGATCATAGCCCTAGTGTTTGGGCTCCTACTTCCCACGTGGGAGATATGGATGAGAATGAGTCAGCAGAGGAAGATCTCTTCTTTCTCCCTCTCCCTCACTTTTTATCTCTCTCTCACACACTCTCTC